AGATTTATTTATTTGTGCATACAGAACTGGGGTACAGGCCAGAGGCTCAGGGGTGGCGAGAGGCTTCACCAGAGACAGAGTGGGGAGCAGAACAGACAGATCGAAGAAATACACTGCTGAGGGGAGCAGCGTGCGGGTCAGGAGAGGTCTGCCACGCCATGTGGTCACCTCTGGGGCAGGGGGGGATCGAATTCATGCAGAAGTGGCTTTAGCTTCTTAGTGCTGTGCTTTAACCCACTGCGTCACCAGGGAGGGCTGAATTACATTCTTTATAATAAAATCTAGAATGGTAAGTAAAGTGTATTCCTGAGTTCTGTTCCTAAGCCATTCTAGCAACTTATTAAATCTGAGGAGAGGGTCCTGGGAACTTCAGATTTGTAGTTAGTGGGTCAGAAGTGCAGGTGACTACCTGGAAGTTGCTACTGACAGGTGAAGGTGGCTGCAGTCTATGAGCCTGAGTCCTTAATCTGTGGAGCATTTCCTTCATTCTCCTAACCAATCAGTTACCAATCAGTGCCTGTCAGCAGACATACATACAGAGGTACTAAACTAGAGTGAATAAATACATTTTTATAGGATTACTGACCTAGCATCAGGGCCTGTGAGTACTGTGTGACCATGTAGCTCTTCTCTGGGTCCTGACATGTGACCCCTGTCGGGTTCCTTAACCTCTCTGTACATCGGCTTCCTTGTTATGTGGAAAGGGTGCTACCTCATTGGGCTGTCCTGAGGATTAAATGTGTTAAGACAGGTAGAAAGCTTATTGCCTGGCACACAGTTAACACCCAGTATATATTAGCTGTTGTTAGGGTAGCTTGGTCAGCTGCATTTTAAGCAGCATCAGATAAAGAGACTGGTTTCTTCACTTTCGAGTTCCACTTACTAGAGGAACTAAAACATTTCTGTAATGTGGAATCCTGTAATACAGATTTTCGCATATGGTGTGTTACAGAGATACAGAAAATCAGAAATCAGTTACTGGGATTGAAAAATCACAGCTTCCTGCCAAGGCTTACCTATGGGTGAGGACAGGTTTGCTGAACCTCATCGAGTTTCCAGACAGCCATCTGCCTCCGTGCCACCAACTCTCACCAAATGCAAGGCAACAGTTACAGACAGCTGAGATTCTCAACTCCATGCACAAAATAATTAGTAAATAGTAAGTTTGTTGGGACTCAGAATTACTACTGTGCCCTAAGTGTGCACTGATCCGGACCTGGCCTCAGTTTCCGGTTTCTGCGCGGGTGAAATAAACTGGGGGGCTCAGCAGAGCCGGCAGCTCTGCTCCGAGCGCGAGAGCGGGGCGGCGCCGCGCGGGGCTTCGGGAGGCCCTGGCCTTGCCAGCCT